AACAACAACAACAACAACAACAACAACAACAACGTGTTTCTGAATGTGAAAGATCTTCTTCAGCTGGTATTGGTGCTTGCCTTTAAAAAATGTTAGTTGTTGTTGAGTTAGCTCTGACTTATTGTAACCTATTTATAACAGAATGAAATTGCCTGCTCCTGTGTTATCTCACAAATATATAGTAAAAAAAAAAAGGACATGGCTCATACAGCCACTTGTGAGCTCTCTGTCTTCTCTGCAGATTCTCTGGGTATGGAGAAGGAGAAAGGGAACCTTAGGTATTAAGCTGCAGTACCCTTCCTGCACAGATAGTGGCCATCTCTTTCAGGATCACAATTGTTATTAACATAAGAAGGACTTTAGAAAGGCTTTGAGAGGCCATGTCATTAGAGAGTCAAAATTAAGGTCCAAAAGGGCCTATGTGATATTCTTTCCTTTCATTTCTCCTTCTCTTTAACAAGGTAAACTAATCTCCAGGCTGGACTGGCTCCAAAGGCTCTTAGTGCCTGAAGTCTTGCCTTAAGTGAGTATAAGAAGAAATATACCCTTGTTCCACGGTGACTGAGTTCATGAGAAGGCAACTGGTGATAGACACTTTGTCTCCTATGACACAGGATGAACCGATGACTGATTGTTCAATGGATGACTTCCCTCCGATCTGTGTATCTGATCCAATGAGGCTGTCAACTCCAACCTGCAAAAGGCAAATATAAAACCTGGTCCACTGATCTCAACCAACTAGAAACCAATTCTCAGTTCTCTTGATGGAATTTTTTTTCTCTAGAGACAAGAGGGACCATTAATATTTTCAGGACCATTGGGTCATACAACACGTCTGGGACAAACTCAAGTCTATACTTAAGCATGGGAACTCCCCTGCCAAGAAACCAAAACAAAACAGATACAAATGCCCATACTAATGTTACTCAGAGTGAACAGATGCGCTTATAGTCCTTTATTGCTTTCCTGGCGATATCACTCAAATGGGGGTATGAAGTAGTACAGATATTTTAAGTCCCATATTTAACTCTCAAGACTATGACTTGTTTTCCCATACAGAGTTTGCATGATCTATCCAAGCAGAATTCTAGTGTCTAGACTAGGGGGTGAGAGTTTATAATCAGAATTTATGCTGGGTTATGGCTCACCAACTAAGGTTAATAAGGTTCAAAACTAGAAACCTTTTAAAGGACAAGAAATGCTTTAGAGATTAGATTGTGTCCTATCTGCCCTGCTCATACTAGTACTTACCAAGTGTTTGTTGACAATCTGGGCTGATGAATGGATCAGTGATTCTTCTGGACAAATAACAGAGAGAAATTTGGGTACCTTGAAAAAAGAAGTTAAGATCATTAAAACAAGCCCCAGAAAAACAACTGAAAATTGGATCCTTTGAGCAGGATCTAATGTCTACTCAGACGCATAATGAGTAGAGTTCTCAGTCACAGTGTCCTTTCTGGTAAGGCAGAGCAGGAGCCCACTGCCATTTCTCCTAGGAGAGGAATATTCTAGTTCCTTTAGTATATGTCTCTCCTTTATTTCCCCACTTTTTTCCCGAAAGTAATGCAAAGTCCCTCAGCTGGGAGAGTATGGGGCAAAAGCCTCTGAGATACCTAGGAAATACTACTTAGAAAAGGAGGCCTAATTAGGAAAACATGTATCATGAGTCTTGACCAGAGTTTTCTTAGGTTTCTACTCACCTCTTGGACCACTGTAGCTAATGATTAGGCAAGGATGAGAGGAATGTTTAACAAAGCTTCGTCTGACATACTTTGGTCATGTTGTAAGGAGAGACAGGTCCTTGGAGAGGGACATCACGCTTGGGGGGGTGGAGGGACAGCACAGGAGGAGAAGGCCCTCTATGAATTGGATTGATTCAGTGACTGGGGTAATTGGGATGGGTGTGTCGGAGACAGTGCGATCAGCACAGGACAGAGCAGAGTTTAGGGGTGTTGTACATAGGGTCGCTATGAGTCACAAGCGACTCGACGGCACATAACAACAAACCAAACAATTAAGACTTTAAGAAGGCATTCATGCTTTGTAGAAGTAAAAATAAAATGTTGGAGAGAATGTCCACAGTTTTCTATCAGCACATGAAAATGCAAATGGGTAAGGGGGAGTAGGAGGCTTTGGTTACCAAGCCATTCACTGACCAGGGCACCTATCTGTGATTTTCTTTACTTTTTTAAGGTAAAAAGTAAATTTATTAGAAAGTTACATCCCAAAGGAATGAATCTCTCTCCTTGAAAGGATATATGGAGGAGAGGCCTATCTGTGATTTTCTAGTACAAGGAGAATACTGGTGAGGCACGGTGTGCATGGGCCACACTAGATAAAGGAGGGCTTGCCAGCACTATATTGATAATGTGGAAGTTAATTTTCCAGTTCTCATCCCTGGGACCTCCCTTATTGTGCCCCAACCAAGACTGTCCAGGTCCTTTTGCTGAATAACACCTACTGGTCCTGCAGAGGATGCCTCTCGGGCTCTAGGCTATTTGGTAATTTGCTCCAACATAACCAACTCATTATAGACATGAGAAAACAGAACTTGTTATGGATTAAATCATGTACCCTCAAAATACGTGTTGTAAATTCAAACTTTTACCCCAGTTGTGAAAATTCTATTTGAGAATGGGCTGTCTTTATTTTAATGCTATGTTATGTCTTTAGGTTAATCAGGCAGGATGAATATAGGGAGTATTTTGAGTTCATTTCTTTTTTCCCCCCACCCATTGTGTGATTTTAAAAATAATTTCTTTTTAGATATGCTGTTATTGCTAGGTACCATTGAGGAGCAACCCTATGAACAACAAACCTGAACCCTGTCATATCCTGTGCCATCCTCATCACTCTGACACACCTGATCCTATTGCTGCAGTCACTGTTGTCAATCTACCTGGTTGAGTCTTCCTCTCTTTCACCAACCTTCCACCTTTACAAGCATGATGTCCCTCTCCAAGGACTATCATCTCCTAGGAACATGCAAAAATCATGTGAGGCGAAGCTTTCTCATCTTTGCCTCCAAGAAGCCCACTAGCCTGCACTTGCTTCAAGACATATCATATCTGTTTGCTCTTTTAGCAGTCCATAGGATATTCAACACTCTTCTCCAACACCATAATTCAAAGGCATCAATTCTTTTCTGTCATAATTAGTCATTTTCCACATCTCAGATGGGACACCTTACTCTTTAAACTGATATCACTGCTCCTCAATAATTTGGAGAGATCCGTAACTGCAGACTTTCCCAGTACAGTATGTCTCCTGATATCCTGACTGCTGGTACCAGTGGTGTTGACTGTGAGTCCATGGAAGATGAAGTTATTGACAGTTTCAATCTTTTTTCCATCTATTATGATGTCCGATGGTGAGATTTTTGTATACTTGACAATGAGAGGCAATTCATACTGAAGGCCTTTGATCTTCTGCAGCAAATGCTTCAAGTCCTCCTCACTTTCAGCAAGCAAAGTTGTGTCATCTGCATAATGTAGGTTACTGATGAATCTTCCTCCAATCCTGATGCCACATTCCTCTTGATAAAGTCTAGCTTCCTGAATGATTTCTTCAGCATACTGACTGAAAAGGAATAGATAAAGGATACATCCCTGAAGCACTCCTTTCTGTATTTTGAACTATGCAGTGTTCCTCTGCTCTCTTTGGACATAATTTGGTCTAGGCATAATTTCTGCATGACTACAATCAAATGTTCTTGGATTCCCCTTCTTCTCAATGTTAGTCCTAATTTGTGATTCACACAGTCAAATGCCTTTGCATAGTTGATAAAGCAGAAATACACATCCTTCTGGTATTTTCTGCTTTTAGCCAAGATACACCTGACATCAGCAATGATGTCACTACTGCCAAAGACTCTTCCAAATCTGGCTTGTATTTCTGAAAGTTCTCTGTTTACATACTGTTTTAGCTAATCTTCAGCAATATTTTGCTTGCATGTGATATTAATTGTACTGTTTGATAATTTCTACATTCTGTTAGGTCACCTTTTTTTGGGATGGGAATAAAGAGGAATCTCTTCTAGTCAGTTGGCCAGGTACTAGTTCTCCAGACTTGTTGGCACAATCTGCTGAGGCACATGCAAGGCTGCATCTGTTAGTTGAAACATGTTGATTGGTATTTCATCAATTTCTAGGACCTTATTTTTTTGCTAATGCTTTCAGAATTTCCATTGGGTTTTGATCATATGTTACTTTATGAAATGGTTCTTTATCAGCTAATTATTTTTGGTACAGTGACTCTGTGTATTCTTTTCATCTACTTTTGATGCTTCCTGAACCATTCAAGATTTTCCCCATAGCATCATTCAGAATTACTACTCAAGGCTTGAATTTGTTCTTCTGTTCCCTAAACTTGAGAAATGCCGTGAGTTCTTTTTTCATTTTCTTACTCCAGCTCTTTGCACATTTTGTTATAATACTCAGAATCTCTTCTGATAGCTATTTTTGTATTTTCTTCTTTCTTTGTCTTTGGCTATAGAGGGTGAAGTCTCTCAACTGACTTTTTCCTTTCTTCACAGAAGGTAGAAGTGGCAAACTTGGATATTTGGCTTAACAGATTTCTAAGCAAAATTTTAAAGGGGCTGTTTATAAGAAAACAAAAGAGCAAAAAGAACTTAGAAACTAAAAATGAAAAATAAAAACAGAATTTTAAAAATTTATTTTATTTCATTATTTTTTGTGTGTACCGTCAAATCAGATCTGACTGGGTACAGGAAGAGATTGTTCCTCCTTCTCCAGCAGAGCATCTGGTGGATTTGAACCATGCACCTCTGAGACTGTAGTTAGGCCACCACAACTCACCAAAAACAGAATTTAAAGATTTGAAAAATTCTGTTGTACAAAAGTAAGTAAACAGGTTCTAGAATTTTCACCAAGGTTGTTGCTATACAATGTTTGTTAAAGGGATTAAAACTGTAACTGAACCAATTATCACAGCAGAAAACCCACCAAGTTAGACTGAAGGAGTCAAAGACAGAATGAAAGGAAAGAGAACGGTCTTAGAGCATACTCTGTTGGAGTTGCATTGCTAATCCAAAGGAGTCCACTTTCTGGTGGTTTGAATTTATCAGTGGCCCCAGAGGAGAAAGATGGGCTCCTCCAGTGCAATTTTTAGCTTCTCAAACCCCTCTGGAAGGTCGGCTATCAGTTGGTTCCTACTTGACAGTAATAAGTTTTTGAGTTTGTGAGGATCTACAAGGAGGAAACAGGCTAAAGGAGCTATATCTGTTTATCTTCAAGAAAAAGACCATTCCTGCAGTGGCTCAGAAAAACACGAGCAGAGAGTTTTGTTTATAAAGAGTGAGGTAATTGTCAATTGTCTCTTAAATCTCAAAGAGTGGGGCTATAGCCTTGTAGGTTTCAGAGTAGGGTTCAGACTCTTGTCAACTTAGTTCTGGAATGTGGGGATGCTCTTCAGGTGTGTCACCGGGATAGGGCTGAGGCTAAGGGAATAGAATTACCGTTCCAGTGGGTCTAGAAGGAGAAACAGAAGCCCAGTGCTGAAGAGCCTTAGATCAGAATCCAGATGTCACTGTTGTTAGGTTTTTGTTGCATCAGCTACAATGCACTGTGACCTATGAACAACAAATCAAACCTTGTCCTAACATGTACCATTCTCACACAATCTCCACCATGCTCAAGACACTGAGTCAATTCATCTTGTTGAAAGACTACCTCTCTCTCCCTTCTATCCCTCCTAGTGTGGTCTTTCTCCAAGGACTGGGGCCTCTCCTGACAACAAGCCCAAAGTATGTGAGATGAAGTTTCACATCTTTACCTCTATGAAGGAGCTCATTGCACTTTGCTCAAGACAGCTTTGTTTATTCTTTTGGTAGTCAATAGGATGTTCAATACTTCAGAGACACTACAATTAAAAGCCTTCAATTCTTCTTTGGTTTTCCTTACTAACTTCAGACGCATAGGAACTAACTGAAAAGACATGCTTGGATCAGGTGTACAAAGTCTTTAAACTGACATCCTTGCTCTTTAGCACTTTGGAGAAGTCTTTAACAGTAGATTTGTCCATACAACACATAGTTTGATTTCTTGACTGCAAGTAACAAAGTGTTGACTGTATTCAAATAAAATGAAATAATCAACATCATCAATCTGTTCTCCATCTTCATGATGTTGCCTACCTGATTTGAGGTATAACCCATATTATCTTTGATCTTCTAGAATAAGTGCCTCAAGTCTTCTTTACTCTCTGCAATCAAGGTTGTCTCATCTGCATAATATAAGTTGTTGATTAGTCTTCCTTCAATCCTAATGTTAGCTTCATCTTCATTGAGTCTAGTTCTTTAATTATTTGCT